CATGTTTTCTTTCCTTTTCTTATCTAAGCAAAATATTATTCTGAATAGGAATAAGAGGCCGCGCTGATTATTTTGGCTGCAGCTTCGTGCACTCCGCCCATCTTCGAACGACTGTACGGACATATTCGCATTGTATCTCGGTGCAATGCCAATAAAGTTTATTCTGATTCTGATTCTGATTTAGCTCAACAAAATTGCTTTGAAGACAGAAATATAGTTTTTTAAAAATATTATAAGATATAAAAAACTAGTCTCACAATGGCCATGTTACTCCTTAAATCCAGGTTTATGTCTGGCTTTGCTTCATAAAAACCTTTTACAAAAATACCACCAACATGGAAAAAATGGCAGCCAACGTGTATTATTATACCAAGTGTAGACAGATTAATGAAAGACAAAATAATTAGGAGATTCAAAATGTATTGTATTACTGACACATTTTCAGATATTTGTGCTTTTCTAAACATTGCTGAAATATATTTTGCTGGTTTACAGTGTTCATGAAAGTAATACCTGCAGCGTGGCTAGTTTTGTACGCAGACCGATGCTGAGCTCCTGGGTTCCTTTCCCTTTCAGTTTCTTCTTCTTCTCTGCGTCTGACTGGCTGCTGACTGAGAGAGTGACAACAGATTGTATTTTCAGTGGGACATGCTGACGTGAAGAACAGAAAAAAAACATGTTGTAAGAGACAGAGCTCAGAAGAAGACCACAGCCTTTTAGATGCATTCTTATAGAGAATGACACGCTCCAAAGTCCGGCGAGTGATAAATCCAAAATGTAATGAAGTTCACTTGACCTCCTCCAACAAGAACACAAAACTTCTTTTTGCTCATCAAGCACATAAATACTGCCCACATTACCTTTAAAGACCATGCAGATCATTCAGTGACAGAACCACCTCCAGCAGTTTTACAGAACACCAACTACAGACCACGCCAACAAACCAGAGTCATACCGTCAGTCCCCAAAGCTTGAAGTTATCAGTAAGAATGTGAAAAAAACTGATGTTCTATGTCAGTGATACCCAACCTAGGGGGCCCACCCCCACGGGGGGCCGCTAGAGAGCACAGGGGGTGCGCATAATGTGTCTGCTCAGAGGTTGTAAAAATATCAATTTATTGCCTGTGTAACAACTTTACAAAATATGTTTTTAATTATAATGTTTGAAATTTCACCAAATCCTGATTAACACTGAAGAACTCTCATTTTGGTTTTGTTTGAAGAGTTTTCTATAACGTATTATGTTAAACACTAATATCTGTACTGTCACTTTAACAACGCTTTGTTACGATGTCAGTTCTGTACTGCTCCGAGGTAGTACATTTTCTTTGCTCTTGGTTAAGCTCATGTTTTATTAAATATACTGTATAAACATATCCACATGCAGTTGTGAATGCTTCTATGTGTAAACACTGTGCAAACATCTGAACGACGTGTTCTGGATCAAAACAGCGTATCTTGCCAACATATTCACACTTTATAATAATATAATAATAATCATTTTATTTAAAAAGCGCCTTTCAGAACACCCAAGGACACTTTTCAGTAAGAAACATATCAGAAAGATTGTGTTAAAACAAACAACAAGCACAGTGCAAAGATCAACAGGAATAAATTACATACAGACTATAAAATACATGAAGAATATAAAATGCATAAAGAATATAAAATACATAAAGAATATAAAATACATAAAGAATATAAAATACATAAAGAATATAAAATACATAAAGAATATAAAATACATAAAGAATATAAAATACATACAGAATATAAAATGCATAAAGAATATAAAATACATACAGCAAAGTTAAGGATAAGCGAGTATAAAGAGATGTGTTTTCAGAGCAGTCTTGAATAGAGAAAGAGAGGTGGTGTTTCTTAAGTCAGGGGGTAGAGAGTTCCAGAGATGAGGGGCAGAGCAGGTGAAGGCCCTGCTCCCCATGGTGGAGAGGCGGGCAGAGGGTATATGGAGGTGTAGTGAAGAGGAGGATCTGAGAGAGCGAGAGGGGATGGAGATGTGTAGGAGGTCAGATAGGTACGGAGGGGCGAGGTTGTGGATAGCTTTGAAAGTGAGAAGAAGAATTTTGAAGACGATGCGTGATTTAACCGGGAGCCAGTGGAGCTGCTGCAGGACTGGAGTGATGTGGTTATAGGAGGAGGTTTGAGTGATGACACGGGCAGCTGAGTTTTGGACCAATTGCAGCTTCTGGAGAGATTTGTTGGGGAGGCCATAAAGAAGGGAGTTGCAGTAGTCAATCCGAGAAGTCACAAGACTGTGAACAAGGATGGCTGTGGAGCGGGGTGTGAGAGAAGGGCGGAGACGGTTAATATTTCAGAGATGGAAATAGGCAGACCGAGTGACGTTGTTGATGTGTGAAGTGAAGGAGAGAGTGGTGTCAAGGATGACACCAAGACTCTTGACCTGAGGCGAGGGGGATAGCAGAGAGTTGTTAAGGGGGATGAGAAGATGTTCAGATTTTGAAATAGAGTTTTTGGTACCGACAAGAATGATTTCTGTTTTGTTACTGTTTAGTTGTAGGAAATTGTTAGAAAACCAGTGATTTAGCTCATTGAGACAGTCGGTGAGGATGGAGGGTGGGTGGGTGGAGTTTGGTTTTGTTGACAAGTAGAGCTGTGTGTCATCAGCATAACGGTGAAAATGGACACCCAATTTACAGAAGATGTGACCTAGAGGGAGGAGGTAAAGGATGAAGAGGAGGGTTCCGAGGACAGAGCCTTGGGGGACACCCGTGGAGACGGGGGATGACTGGGAATGAAAGGATTTGAGCTGAATGAATTGAGTGCGGTCAGAGAGATATGATTTGAACCAGTCTAACGGAGCACCTGGGATGCCAATGGAGGTTAGTCTGTTGAGGAGGATAGAATGACAGATTGTGTCGAAGGCAGAACTTAGATCCAGTAAAATGAGGATAGACAGAAGAGCAGAGTCAGCAGCAAGAAGGAGGTTGTTAGTTATTTTTATTAGAGCTGTTTCGGTGCTATGGTGGGGGCGAAAACCAGATTGAAACTCTTCATAAATGTTATTGTTGGATAGGTGAGAGTGAAGTTGACTAGCAACGGCTTTTTCAAGAACTTTGGAAATAAAGGGCAGATTAGAGATTGGAAGAAGATTACTGAGGTTGGTAAAGTCAAGACCTGGTTTCTTGATGATGGGGGTGATGGCCGCAGATTTGAAAGCTGTGGGAACAATGCCAGAGGTTAGGGAGGAGTGGATGATGTTGGTGATGATGGGGAGCAGAGATGGGAGACAGGATTTAACAAGAACTGTGGGAAATGGATCGAGCTGACAGGATGAGAACTTAGACTTGCTGATAATGTCAGCAATGTCATCAGCAGAGGGGAGGGAGAAGACAGAGAAGGGGAGGGAGGGAGGGGGGAGTTCAACATAGATGCTGGAGGTGGTATTAGGTCCAAGGTGTTTATGAATTGAAAGAATCTTTTCATTGAAATAAGACATCAGAGAGTTGCAAAATTCTGTGGAAACCATGTGAGAGGGTAATGAGTTAGGAGATGAGACTGAACGGTTAAGGAGAGAGAACAAAGTCTTTGAATTGCCAACATTGGAACTGCTGAACTTACAATGACACAAACAAGCGGATATGTTAGTATTTTATCTAGACTGACCCTGGGTTTTGATCTGCTCAGAGACGGAGTGTTATGAAATTATGACCCAGTTCTGACCAGTTTAAACGGGGCCAGTAACTCTAAAAAGAGTCTCCCCGGGATTCAATATTCGTAAAGGTATAGAGTTTTTATTTATTTGTTATTTCATTATTGGCTCGCCACATCACATAAGAGAGGATTTGTGCACCGTATCATTTGTTCCTGACATGTAAGACCACATAAGATCATCATCATCATCATCAACAACTTTATTTATAAAGCACTTTAACACAGCCACAGCTGAAACAAAGTGCTGAACATCAGTTAAAAACAAGAAAAGAGAGCATAAAAACAAAGCTACAAAGCCAAGCACACAGTGAACTAAAAACTCAGATTAAAACACAATAAAATGACGAGTTAAACAGATAAAATCAATACCAATAAAAATGAAGTAAAATCAAATCTCAGTTCGTTGAAGGCCGATGAGTAGAGATGAGTTTTCAGACGGGTTTTAAAAATGGACAGTGAAGGGGCCTGTCGGACGTACAAAGGCGGCGCGTTCCATAACTTAGGGGCACTAACAGAGAAGGCCCTGTCTCCTCTGAGCTTCCTCTTGGGAATGATCAGAAACAGCTGGTCAGCAAACCTGAGTGACCAAGGGGGAGTGTAGTGGTGGAGAAGCTCTGTTAAATAAGGTGGGGCAAGGCTGTTTAAAACCTAAAAACGAACAAAATAATTTTAAAATGAACTCTAAAATACATGGGCAGCTAGTGGAGAGAAGCCAGGACAGGGTGATGTGCTCTCTTTTACGTGTTCCAGTTAACGGACGTGCAGCAGCATTTTGCACCAGCTGCAGACATGTGAGTGAGGACTGGCTGACTCCGATGTAGAGAGAATTACAGTAATCCAGCCTTGATGAAATGAAGGCATGGATTACTGTTTCAAACTGTTGCCTTGAAAGAATAGGTTTTACCTTAACCAATTTTCTCAAATTATAAAAAACAGACTTGACTGTGGTGCATTGTACTGTGTACTGTACTTGTACTGTTGTGTGTGTTTAAAAGCCACTGGGACGTTGACTGGTTAAACCCCAAAATACATTACGGCAAAGACTGGTTAATCCCAAAGATCCAGTCCCCCGGCACAAACAGAGTAATATTGTGTATGTTGTTCAGTGTCAGGAGGGTGATCAGTCTTACATCAGGTAAACTAAACAACCACTGGCCAAAAGGATGGACCAGCACAGAAGATCAACATCATCAGGCCAGGACTCTGCGGTCTACACTCATCTGCAGGCCAGCGGTCACTCTTTCAGGGATGAAGATGTTCACATCCTGGACAGAGAGGAACGATGGTTTGAGAGAAGAGTAAAGGAGGCCATCTTTGTGAAAAGAAATCGTCCATCATTAAACAGGGGTGGAGCCTCCGGGTTCAACTGTCCCCCTCTTACAATGCTGTGATTGCTAGTATCACTCAGCCCTCTGTGAACAGTAAACAGCCATCAGTGTGCTAATGATCCATTGTTAGGCTGATGGTCCTTCTTGATCATGTGATCAGCTGGTTTTGGTTGTCAGCAGCAAACTGGTTGATCCACTCTGAGAAGGTGCTATTTAAGAGACTGAGCTGAATACAGCACCTCAGACTGAAGAAGTCTTTCGGATGAGAGACGAAATGTTTCCTTTTTTTTTTTTTGTTTGTTTGTTTTGCTTTGTTTTGTTTTTTGAATGTCCAGAGGACCAGACTTAAGTTTTTTAGATTTTTCTACCTGGATCATTGAGCATGCATCAGGATCTTTTACCAGAGGTTTGTCTGGGCAACAAACATGGATGTTAACGTCACCAACAATAAGGACATGGTCATATCCAGTCACTATCTCAGAAAGAAATTCTGAAAAGTCACTAATAAAATCCTTATTGTATTTGGGTGTGCGTTAGATGACATCGCAGAGTGTCGGGTCAGAACAACAGGAGGTCACAGGAGGTCA